GGAGCCATAGTCAGGCACATGTAGCGCTAAATGGATTAATTGGAATGGGATCAGGATAAATGACGAGCTATGCAACTTTTCAACTCAAAATCCGTTGGTACCAGCATCGGCTAAGTTGACAATGACTCATCAAATGAGGATTCGTAAATGCTATGCATCATTCACCTAACCTTTAAAGAATATAGTCAGGTCAATTTAATGAACAAAAAGATGCTTTACCAGCAACGTGTCAAAGTTTGCAGCATATTTGGCGAAATGACAGCCGACTACATAGCCTTTAAAATACAAGTTGACAGAAATATTGTACCTAACTATAGACATTTGACACATCGCCTGCATTTCATACTTAACCCGCGCCCCAGCATAAGATTGTAAGAAATTATATAGTGGGAATGACAGATATGTAAGCATTAACATAAATAGAAGGCATAACTGCAAACCCGTTATGAATTATGATTCATGCATGGAAAGTATCAAAAAACACACTTCATATTGTGGTGAAGAGTTTCACAGTAACATATTAAATGCGTTTGGCAATGAAGAGTCACACATAATTTGCACTTTAAGGTCTTCGAAAAATGTAGGAAAGGAAAATGTAATAATACCTTCCGAATCCCATCCTACTCCGGCTCTCCAGCGGTGGGCCGGCGCCGGTCAGGCCCTCCAGCGGTGGGCCGGCGCCGGTCAGGCCCGCCAGCGATGGGCCGGCGCCGGTCAGGCCCGCCAGCGATGGGCCGGCGCCGGTCAGGCCCTCCAGCGGTGGGCCGGCGCCGGTCAGGCCCGCCAGCGATGGGCCGGCGCCGGTCAGGCCCTCCAGCGGTGGGCCGGCGCCGGTCAGGCCCTCCAGCGGTGGGCCGGCGCCGGTCAGGCCCTCCAGCGGTGGGGCGGCGCCGGTCAGGCCCTCCAGCGGTGGGCCGGCGCCGGTCAGGCCCTCCAGCGGTGGGCCGGCGCCGGTCAGGCCCTCCAGCGGTGGGTCGGCGCCGGTCAGGCCCTCCAGCGGTGGGCCGGCGCCGGTCAGGCCCTCCAGCGGTGGGTCGGCGCCGGTCAGGCCCTCCAGCGGTGGGCCGGCACCGGTCAGGCCCTCCAGCGGTGGGCCGGCGCCGGTCAGGCCCTCCAGCGGTGGGGCGGCGCCGGTCAGGCCCTCCAGCGGTGGGCCGGCGCCGGTCAGGCCCGCCAGCGATGGGCCGGCGCCGGTCAGGCCCTCAAGCGGTGGGCCGGCGCCGGTCAGGCCCTCCACTGGGGAAGACTCTTTCGACCTGTGACAATCAACCACAATTTTAGTATCAGTACTGCAATAAAATCAATACCCAATTCTAATGCAGGGTAGGCAGCAAAATCCTGTTTAAAATTTTTGAGGGGCGTGACTAATGAAGCAGTGAGCAGGAGCAAACAATAGTAAGATGATTAAGAGCAAGGGCAAAAAGGGAGGAGAGGGGGGGAGAGAGAGAGAGAGAGAGAGAGAGAGAGAGAGAGAGAGAGAGAGAGAGAGAGAGAGAGAGAGAGAGAGAGAGAGAGAGAGAGAGAGAGAGAGAGAGAGAGAGAGAAAGAAAGAAAGAAAGAAAGAAAGAAAGAAAGAAAGAAAGAAAGAAAGAGGGTCGAGGGAGGGAGGGAGGGAGGGAGGGAGAGAAAAGATGACAACTGCTATAGCTGTGAGCCCTGTAAATTACCAAACACATTTTGTTGGATAGAAATATACCTGACTGACGTCAGTTCCTAAATGCAAAACATCCTACTCAGATTCGGTGAGTGGCAGCTGAGCTGGCACCAGCTGCCATTTGGTTAGTGGATCACTCATGATTACTCACACACAGGCGCATACTGCATACATACCTACATCACAAAAGCATGATCTCACCATATAAACCATGATACCATTAATTTGTAAATATAGAACAGTCTGTACATTCATACTTTGGTAGGTGCTCACTGCCCACTGGTCAACTTACATCACTAGGAGATCATGTAGGACACCTTTCGCTTCTCTTCTTTGAAGTCGCTCACTTCTGGTATCGCTGGCACGTCTAAAATTGAAAAAGAGTGCGTCTTGTTAATAGGTGTTCTTGACCGGTGAATAAGCTTTTGCAGATAAAACATAACATGTTGATAAACAAACCTCGCCTATTATCCTACATGCTAGGCCAGGTGCTTGGCCAGGTGGTTTATAAAGCTTTTGGCAAGGTAGGTAAGCATGCAGTATGTGGGACATTGTCACATGCCTATTTATTAACTATAAGTGTATGCAAAATATAACAAATAGAATTACTTACCCTGTGCTAGATCCTGGGAGCTTCAATGATGGAATAGCACCTTTATTCAATCGCCTTGTCTTGGAGACAAGGGACTGCTCAAATGAAAACTGTTGGAATTTATTGAAATCTGACGGCTCAAAGTGGTCCGAGCAAACGCTGGCATTGTCTGGGTTGAACTTGTCCTTCCTTCCACACTTGTGAACCCAAATCTTCCTCACAGAGTCATCTTTTGGGAAACGGTGAAATGAAAGAACATCCTCTTGAGCCCTTTTATGGGTGTCATTGCTGCACCCCCAAACAGCACAATAAGGCATCTTGAACTGGTCAGGCACTCACAAGGTTCTGCATTATCTGGAAAATAAAAGCAAAGTAAAACAAACATTTAAGTATCTATGCGTTTTAAAGTAACAAAAACCGCAACCATATTAGAAGTTCAGCAGTGAGTTGTAAAAATTTCAATGTCAAAGGCACACTGAAGTTGGATGTTTTAATCATGAAAAAAGCAGATACCAATGCGACACTACAAAGAGTTGTTGATCTGAGATAATTAAGAAATCGATTAACGTTACATCCTTAGCAAATCCACTGAAAACAAGCGAAATTACACCCTTAAATCGTCTTAGCACACGGCCATAGCAGCAGTAAGCAGCATGGCCTCTAACTTTGGTCACTCTCTTTATGTACACTTATGCTAAAAACACTAGTTATTAGGTTCAAATGATTCATCAGTCGATTTAGAATGAATCTGGAGTCAAAACAGCTCGAAACTGATCAAAATACTGCGAAAACTGACCCAACTACGAAGACAGCACACTCATAACAAGCAGGAAGCAATGGTGTCTCAACTGCAGTCCCCCACAATTTCGTCACGAGCTTCGAGCCAATCAGCGTCTGGCATTGCCGAGCGCTGATTGGTCAATTCTCGCTCATCTATCAATGCTGCTTGCGAAAACACCACCTGAACAGAAATTGTCGACAATCCACCACAAACGTCTGTCACACTTTTTTGTAATGCTAAAAAGCCGGAGCGTACCCCCCTGGACGTATGGATGAATGAAATATTACATCCCTCAGTTAGGGTATAGGTGCCTTCATATGGTATGACTTCACACGAAGCTTTTATTTGCATAGAGATCTTATATACATGTATATAAGATCTATATAAGATCATACATATGTATATAAGATCTCTATGTTTATTTGTATATCGACAGCGGGATCATGACATTTGTTATCAGTCGTCTTCGTTAAAACACTTATTGAAGACATTGATTCGAGTAATTGTTATAAGGGCACCCAATAAAATGCAGAAAGTGCTCATCATTTATTTGTTCAATTATGCCAATAAGCAGGGTAGGTATTTAAAGGGCAGTTTATTGAATAATATGAGAAAGCGCTTGTTTGAGGCTCATGATGATAAGTATAATGATGAAAGAAATCCGAAGCCTCATAATAATGAATGTATTCTAAATTATGACCGAGAAAAAAAAGAGATAACAGTTTCGGGCATAGCCCATCATCAGATCTCCTAAAAGATACATTTTGAAAATTGTGATCTCGCCTTTTAACACATCCTGACACATTTAGCGACCACCCTCTTCTTTGAGAATGTGATACAAAGTTAAATGTTTATTGAGTTATTGAGCAGTTTATTGAGCTGAATATGTATTTACAACCATTGCAAAACTGATATTTCCTCATTTTGTTTATTCACATTCGATGACAGCATAAAATCAAATATTCTAATATTGTCAAATATCCTAATGTTGTCACTGAATATCAGCCGTTTTCACGACGGTCTATCCGGCGAGCGCACCTAATTTGACCAAATCTGTATCTAATCTCTTTTACAGCAAATATCTTCATTTCATGAATTTATTTCAGTGTTTTAATCGATGATGCTCTCTGATAATACGACCAAGCAGGCATATAAGCAAGTAGTGTAGCCCTAGCTGAAAGCCACTAAGAGAAACACTGAACCTGATTTGACCAAATCTGCACCTGATCTGCACCAGATGTGCACCAAATGTGTACCAGATGGCCGTCGTGAAAACGGCTATTATGAAGATGAGAAATGACCTTACGCCCATGATATGATATGACTGAATTAAATTGAAATATTAATTTAAGAATTAATTCTCAACTCCATAATATTACTAATGAAGCTCAAACATGCCATTACTTACATCCAACAGTGCTGTCATCGAATGTGAATAAACATATCAATGTCCGACATGATGCATACTGAGATTTACACCGAGCAAGTAACTGCACATTACAAACATACTTTTGTTGTTTGTATGTAAATGCGCTTAAACCCTACTTTGATGTCTGGGACAAATGACATTTGATCTGAAAAATTGAAAATATTTCACAAAACTTCTTACGTTAAAATCTTTTTGCTGTGATATGGATTATGATTGCAGTTATTGAATCATATTTTCCTTTGATCCGTCTTCCTTGTCACTCTTGACAAAGCGACGTTCATCATTTTATCGCTTGATTTTTTGTTGTTGCTTGTTAGATCCATTGCAAGGAAGATGACTGTTAGAGAAATGATTCCGCGCACAAGTCTGGTTGCATCATCAGTTTTTATCCTTACACTTCTAAGCGGTTACGTCAATTAGCTTCGATGGCGTCAATAGCGTCAATTTAAGCACCTTTTTACATCTATAGGTAGGTATAATTTTTTTTGCCATCTACGTGTAGATCTCTCCCCGCATCTAACCGCTGGCGTTCTGCCCCTGACAGAGTCGGCCGCGGTGCAGTCGGCAGATGAGCCGCCGTCACGGCCGCCCTTGCAGCGACCGTCCATGCTGCAGCCCGTCTTCCTCAACACCACGCGGCACGTGCAGGCGCCCGTCGGCCGGCCCGCCTACCTGCACTGCATCGTCCAGCATCCAGGCGACAGAACGGTCAGTGGCGTGTGTCGTACCCCCGCTGCGCAGGTGTGCTGAGAAAGGACCATGGACGTGCGTCATCGGCTGCTTATTATAGGGTGCCGCGCAGTCTGGTGTGTCGCTTATCTCCATACCTGCGGCGGTTTTCTGCGTCATGCCTGATTTACACGGGTGCCCGTCGGCTCGAAACTTGCCCGGACGGCCGTCGCCAGTCGGCGGCGCTAATGCATTCACGCCGTCCCTCAGCGGCGGCCGTTGTTTGGTGACAGGCCGCCGCCGTCTTCGTCGCCGCCGTCGCAGCCCGCTCATCTGATCGCATCGATACGTGGGCGGCGGCAATTTGGCTCGGTAGCATCGACGTCGAGTCGAGCCAGGCGCGGGCCGGGCCCGCCGAGCGGCGCAGCGCGGGCCGAACGCACCCCCGACGGCACCCGAGACAAATGAGCGAGGCAATGGACACTTTGGGAAATCAGAGTCGGAACGGGGCCGAAATGGGGCCGGCAGCGCTGCCGGCGGCGTGTTGTCGGTCGCTGACAGCCAGCCTCTTCCCGATGATCAGATCGGAACAGGACGGCGACAAACGACCCACTTTGTGCAGCCAATGTGTGCGTCTTCTGAAAGAGCGTGTAAAGCACAAGGATGGTGTTACATTGAAAATGAATAGGCTTTATTTGTGCTTCTGCTTAAAGTTTTATTTCTTTCGTCATTCATTCGCTTTCATCGTTCCTACAACCATTTGTATGAACGACCCAAACAATTAAGTCTATTTTTGTTGCTTTCTAATGAAATTAAATCGATAATGCAATGCCATTGAGTCGAGTCTTTGTTGATCTCCCAATCAAACTGGCCACTTCAGATAGGAAATTGAAAGTCGCATGCTGCTTGAGCAGCCACCTGCGCACTCCTTTCGGAAGAGATATAAAAAGAAAATAACGCTCGAAGTAATACTGGTCTTGACGAGCTCAATCTCCTAAGAGGGGGCAAATGAGCGTTGACTTTTCCTGAAGGAAAAACATGTAGAGTTGCGAAAAATAAAAACTGAATTAATCGCCGCGAGAGCTTTTCTGCCCATCATCTAGAACACTACCTGGCGTTCAACCAGCCATGCACTAAGTGTTCTTTCTCGCTCACCTCACACCTCACACTCTCCCTGCACCCGGTGCCGCCTCTCCGCAGATCTCCTGGGTGCGCCGCAAAGACCTGCACATTCTGACGGTGGGCGAGTACACGTACTCGAGCGACCAGAGGTTCCAGTCACTGCACGTGCCGGGCACACAGGAGTGGACGCTGAAGGTGCGCTCCCCCACACCGGCCGACAGCGGCGTGTACGACTGTCAAGTCAGCACCGAGCCCCGGATGAGCCTGGCGTTCCAGCTGGATGTCACGGGTGAGTTGGGGATGGACGCATGGGGATGTGCTTTAATGGCATTAGAGGGTTGTATGTAGTTTGGTCTGGATTTATGCATCATGAACAAACTTCAAACAGCAACTTCAAGTTGTAGTTGCCGAGCCCAGCTGCAGTTCGATGAACAGAGCAGGTTGTAGACGGTCATGCATAGTCTGCAAGCATTTTAAGCATTTAATGCCTTGCAAAGAAAACGTTTGACGCATTTCCATCATCTGGACAGCGCACTGTTTTCCACGAAGTCACCAAGGCTAAGCATTTCCATCGTAGCGATTTCCGTCGCATCCCGTCCGTCAGTCGGTAATGGGTTATCGCGCGCGGTAAAAGCCCCGCTGAATTTGAGATTGAGAGCTCCACTTATCCGCCGGTGCTGCCTTGCTAACGACGCTTCTGTCAGTGACATGTTTGGGATTATCCGAACTGCCGCTGCTTTGGAGGCACGGCGTTTTGCTTTACACTGGAAGTTCATGACTTTTTGTTCATCGGACTTAATAATGGGTTGTATTGTATATAACCTATAAATCAACATTGACATGATGTAGCATTCTTGGTGACAGCACACATAGGGCAATTGCGGAGCAAAATCACGGACGTCTGTGATTTTGTCCCGTACTCACCTCTTCTATAAATACAAATACAAATACAAATTCTATAATAATTGTATAGTTATGTTGTGTTCAATGCGTTATTTATACCACATCTGTGCAGTAGGTATTTCAAGATTCACTTTACATAGCTTACATAAGTCTACACGATCAATCTAATCCTTCGTAGAAGACTTAGGTGCTGCTTGTGCTGGATCCTAATTATTAAGCCATGTGACAAAGTGCGAGCATTTCTCCGAGCGCTTTTCTCACGGATTGCTCCCATGTGACCGAAGCTTCAGCATAGTTGTGTCTTTGCGGTAGTGAGTTTCCATTACCGTTAGATCCTATGATAAGCAGTGCAAGGTTGAACGGTCGATGGCGACCGGCCGAATAATTAATCCATGCAGCAATGTAATTAAGGCACTTCGCGTGTTTCAGTGTCGCAGGCGCGCATTCTCGGCAGCCCAGAGCTTCACGTCAAGACGGGCAGTGACGTCAATCTGACGTGTGAGGTGGCCCACAACACGAGAGTCTTCTACTGGTATCACAACGGTGACGTCATCAACCACAGCGGCCGGCCGCGACTGCGGCTGGAGACGGAGCCCACCGTCAGCAGGTGAGGCGACTGCAGACGGAGCCCACCGTCAGCAGGTGAGGCGACTGCTGCAGACGGAGCCCACTGTCAGCAGGTGAGGCGACTGCAGACAGAGCCCACTGTCAGCAGGTGAGACGACTGGAGACGGAGCCCACTGTCCGCAAGTGAGACGGCTGCAGACGGAGCCCACTGTCAGCAGGTGAGGCGACTGCAGACGGAGCCCACTGTCAGCAGGTGAGGCGACTGCAGACGGAGCCCACTGTCAGCAGGTGAGGCGACTGCAGACGGAGCCCACTGTCAGCAGGTGAGACCGTGGCTGCAGACGGAGCCCACTGTCAGCAGGTGAGACGGCTGCAGACGGAGCCCACTGTCAGCAGGTGAGACGGCTGCAGACGGAGCCCACTGTCAGCAGGTGAGGCGACTGCAGACGGAGCCCACTGTCAGCAGGTGAGGCGACTGCAGACGGAGCCCACTGTCAGCAGGTGAGACCGTGGCTGCAGACGGAGCCCACTGTCAGCAGGTGAGACGGCTGCAGACGGAGCCCACTGTCAGCAGGTGAGACGGCTGCAGACGGAGCCCACTGTCAGCAGGTGAGGCAGCTGCAGACGGAGCCCACTGTCAGCAGGTGAGGCATAACTGCGGAGCCCACTGTCAGCAGGTAAGACCGAACAGCCGGGCTGCGGAACAGCCTGATCACATGTTTGCCGTTTTCACGACGCGTTGTCTGGCGAATGCACCAAACTTGACCAACTCTAGCTACAACAAATATTTTTTGCAAGCCAATGACGCTACCAAAAAGCATTGCAAGTTTCATTATCTAGGTATCTCTTTCCTGGCATCATCTTTTCTCTACCTCTTTCTCCTGTCTCCAAACTCCTCTCTACCTCTATACTCTCTCTCTCTCTCTCTCTCTCTCTCTCTCTCTCTCTCTCTCTCTCTCTCTCTCTCTCTCTCTCTCTCTCTCTCTCTCTCTCTCTCTCTCCCTCCCTCTCTCCCTCTCCTTGCGTCTGCCGGCACCGCGCCGCTGCCTGTCGGTGGTATATAGTGCGTGGACGCGTGGCTCGTTATCCCAGCACGGACGGCCGGGGATGGCACGGAGGCCCCCGGGACAGCCTGAGGCCCGCTGATAGCCGCCCTCAGAGGAAAACGTCAGCCCCAACGTCCCGAGTGAGGTGACACCGCCAGCCCGGCGATAGAGGCTAATTAAATTCCAGCTCAAAGCGCAATACGGCGCCAACTTGTTACGTGGCCTCTTCGCCGAACGGCATCGTCTCCTGAAGATGGAATGGAAGAAGACGGAATATTTTTTAATTGCAAGACCGGAGAGATAGCTATCTGGTTATTTGGGAGATTATCGCATTAGTTCTAAAAACCAAGTTCATGAAAATATCGCTGGAAAAGTGTACTGTTTGATGATTATGTATTATCTCAAATTTCGACCGATATTTTTCTAAGTAAAACATGCGTCGGTTATGAAGAACGTGTCTCATACATAACGCATTGGCTGACGACAAACTATAAACTAAGCTCAAGGGGCAGCGCGTAATCAGTTGCTGCGCCGCCTGTCTCCGCTGCGCCGTCTCTCGCCGCTGCTGTGCCGCCTGTCGCCGCCGCTGGGTCGCCGTCGGCCGGCTTCGTCCGTGTCATTTCGCCGGCGGCTGCCTTCCGACCCGTAAACTCTGCGTAATGAACTCATCAGCCCCTCTGACGATGGATGAACAGCGCCATGAGCTCAGTCGGCGCGCCTTAGCAATGATAATGAATGCAAATTACAGATATCTGGCGGAACGCATTGCGAGACATCAGACCGAGCGCGGACCAGATATCAGACGCCGCCGCCCTGTGATTCTATATCGGTAGCGTCAGCGTGCGCTTGTGGCTCATAAAGTGATCACTTTGTTTTCAAATGAAGCTAACTATCCTTTAGCCTTGAGTCATGCCTATAAATTTTAACACAGCAAAACCTATGACAAATTGTTATATAGGTTATATAGGTAGGTTACCATTGTTTTTTTCTTTTTTTTTAGCATGGTCTATCAATTATCAATAAAAGATTATTGCATGACTCAATAAAAGATTCAATATCATGATTCATGACTCATGATTCATGACTTAATCAATAAAAGATTATAGATGCATGCCTTTTATCCGAAAGTTTCTCCCGAACTGGCTTTGTCAGAATTCGAAGGATATGTACCTATTGTGTAGGCATTCTGCGACTTTCATATTGATATTCTCAGGGGTATCTTCCAGGGTATTTTGTAAGGCACGCGTGTTTTCCTTCAGAGGATTTGATGCCAAACCCATTCAATATGCTACTCTCGTGTCAATGGCGAATTCGTCGCCGCCACTTCAGTGCGCATTCAGCTCCGCGGTGCGGGACGCCGTGAAAGGTCTCCAACTCGGAGAATCCCCCCCCCCCCCCCTGGCGCGTCCCCGCGGAGGGTAGCAGGTCGATGAAGCCAAGTCTTCGATAGCATACTGCAACTTATCTAACTAAAGGGCGACAACTTGCGAATTAGTACGCTAAGGGATGCCATATATCATAATAATACCCATACCTACTGGAATCTTCCAATTTTACCATCGACATAGGTGTCCGTATAAAGGTTCCGAAATTAGTTATGCCTTCAATCTGTAGAGCATTAAAACGTGATATCACCACTAAAATAAAGCCCAGTATCAATTAAGGAACACTTTCCAGTTTCTTTTCACTGTACATATGTTGGGGCGAGAGGCACGAAACAAACGGGATAAGTTCACGGTAGTTTTCCCTGGAGGCAGCCGTAATTACGGTAACCTACATCTTGAAATGTTAAGTGTCGCGAGTTTGCGTCTTAATTCATTCGAGCACGTTGTCTCAGCCGCCAAAGCTTCCATAGAACCTGCGGCACTGCCAAGTCTCCAAGGGTCCCTCATTTTCACCGTGCGGCGCCGTTGGACTCAACAGCTGACTGTAGCAGGCCGACTTTGATCTTTGTTCCCTCTGAAATATTGTGACTCGGCGACTGGTGAGCTTTGTGATGGAAATACGAATACCTTTATCCAAACAGAGTGAATTTCACGACGGACAATCAATCAAAACCAACGGCGGATAGTCTGTGAGAGTATACCTAACTCCATTCCCCAGCTCAGTCTTACTTATGTATTAGATAGCTATTCAAATTCCGTATTGGCCATGACGCTGAATAGCTTGTCTTACTTGCATATTTTTAGTTTTTGTACCTGGCTAATGTAAAACATTAGTCTTATCCGCAGTTATATATGGAACGATACATGTCCTGCATCATGCACATATATCCACATTCAAGGCCGTATAATTGTAGTGTTTGATACGATTGAACGTTAACCCGCGCCCCGTAGGGGGGGGGGGGGCCGAAACGGCCCCCCTGTCCTTTTCGGTCGATATCTCCTAAACGGCTGGAGATATCGCCACCAAACTTTCAGGACCCCTCCGGGCATCAATTTTACACATTGTGACCAAAAATTTTTCCAGAGGCTGTGATAGGTTGGCCACAAATGACGTCAGAGTGACGTCATGTTCTGTCATTTTCGACCGAAAAAAGACCTTCGCGAGAAGACCTGTCAGGCCTACAGCTTTGAAGATACAGAAAAATGATCAGGACATAAAAGGTGTAGAATTGACAGGGCTACAAAACTGCTATCTCGGATTTTTGAAATTTTTGAGTTTTGATCCCCAAAAATCAAAAAAACATTTTTTTGGATATATTAGCCAAAAAATCCAAAAAGTTTTTTGAGTTTCGAAAAAACCGGAATATATGTGATAGTACCTACCGTCTTCTATCTACATACCAAATTTCAGATCGATACCTCGTTTTTTGGCCAAGTTATAGCGAAAAAACTGTTCAAAAATGATGACGTCAAATTTTCAAACTCAATTTTTGGCAATTCTAGAACTCGTAGAGCAAAACAAAGACCACCATTAGACTCCCCGTGACGAGCTGCATCGAATGGATACCCATTTTATGCAAAAATATCAACTTTGAAATTTGACCTAATTTGACCTGACCTTGACCTGACCTTCACCAAAACGTGACCTAGGCTGGCCCCAAAGGCTGCCTAACCCACATAATCGCATTTGTCATGTAAAATGGACCATAGAACATGTATCACACGACACATTCATATTGTGACCCCGGTGACCTGACCTCGCTGTGACCTGACCTGGTATCAGTGACCTCAGATAGCAAAGTATGTGTTTGACGAACAATATACCATCGACGGTTTTCAATAAATTACCAATTTACTCGATTTCACAGCACATTTCTTGAATTGCCTGTGAACGGTGAAAATCTGACCTTTGACCTGACCTGTGACGTCATCGGTTTGACCTAGGTCAATGAAATTTGGTCACAAGGTAGTTCCCGGGTAGGGCTATCAAACGCCGTTTGAATTTTGAAAATCGGCCGGTAACTTTCCGAGATCTTAGGGGGGGACCGAAACGGCCCCCCCCCCCCTACGGGTGGTAGGGTCCGCCGGTAGCCCTACGGGGCGCGGGTTAAACGTATCGCGTGCTCCGAAGAGTAGGTACAGGGTGTCCGGAAAGTCCTGGCGCTTCTTTTGGACGCCGTGTAACGCGCGCTGTGATTATTGGACATTCAGCCAATCAGCACAGACATGACCCCTCGTTGATTGCTCAGCCAGGGGTCGTGTAAATATGACCTTGAAATCGTTTTCAGTGATGGGTAGATGGGCGAAGATGCGCCTTGTCGCTGAATGCCTGCGCGCGGCGGCCGGGTGCGACTTGAACGAGGCGCGAGTTGCAGCGCGATGCGGCGTTTTTCGATGAATGGTTTAGCAGGTAAAGGTTTATTTCGTCTCGGGAATTCCTTAAAAAATATCCTCAGACCGTTTCGAACGCGATATGGGAACGGAGCAGCATTTCAACGCGGCAATCGAAGAAAGTGCGGGGGTCTGATGGACAAAAATGTCCCATCATCTTCGTCAATGTCGAATAAATGAATAACAGGCTGGCCCACGAGGGGTTCCTGGACAGCCACATCAACCCGAGGGTCAAGACGACATGCCCTAAGGGTCACTTCGCATTTCAACAGCACAGAGCACCCTCCAACAACGCCGCCGCCATTCAAGCTAAACTGACAGAGGAGCTTGCCGGGCCAGATCACCGTGGCGAAATGAGATTAGGCCGCCTTATTCTCCTAACCTGACCCGCTCGACTAAGGCGTGCTACGCGTTTTGTAGAACAGGATCTAGGCCATTTCTCACCCCAACCTGGAGTCGCTGAAGACTCGCATCATGACAGCATGGGAGGACCTGGAAATGCCCCGCATCGTCAAAACCCGCAGACGCTTCCTCCCCTACGTCGAGGCCGTCGTCGGCGCCGACGGTGGTTACATTGAATGAGCACGTAGCGGAAGCATGTGGCTTGGTGTCCCTGGTCATTGTTTTGATCCATTGATTAGTATCTATGAACCAATGGCATTTGTTTTAGAAAATGTTGAAAAGCGCCAGAACTATCCGGACACCCTGTATACGTGTATGTATGTTGAAACGTCTCCCATGTTGATAGATAAGCATTGTTGTTGAATCTATTGACTCTGTTTGGATAACTTGCCATTTTTTCACCTGCGATTCGTGCTGGCATCCCCGGCTCACACCCAATCGCTGCCCCCACGTGCCCCGTCCCGTGCTCGCACGTGCCCCATCCCGTGCTGACACGTGTCTCCGTGTGCCGCCAGGCTGTATATCACGCGGATGACGGCCAACGACACGGGTACCTACACGTGCGGCCCGTCGGGCGCCGAGCCGGCCTCTGTGGTCGTCCACGCCATCAACGGTGAGCCGCCGGGCGGGCACGTAACTGTTGGGGTGAAACCACTGGGACGTAACCAGTAACCACTGAGACCCAACTGATGGGACGTAACCGCTGCAACGTAACCGCTGGGACCATAAACCGCTGGGACGTAACCACTGGGACCATAACCACCAAGACGTAACTGCTGGGACCATAACCGCTGGGACCATAGCTGTTGGGACGTAACCTCTGGAACGTACCCAACCGCCGTGACGTAACCGCTGGGGCGTAACATTAAGATGTTACTGCTGGGGCTAACTGCTGGGGCGTAACTGCTGGGACGTAACTGCTGGGGTGGAAACACTGGGCCGTAACTACCTGGGACGTAACCACCGGAAACAAGCCACTGGGACCATAACCGCTCGGACGTTGCCGCCGGGACGTAACCGCTGGGGCGTAACCACTGGGACGATCCGGCTGTCTGCAGCCACCGGGCCCATAACTCTTATAACTCTTAAAATAACTTATAACTCCAAAAGCGGGCACTTGGACTACATGCATTAACGCTCATAGTGAGGCGTTGTGCCCTAAACAATAAAATGCACTATGAAAGGTTAGTTAGTACCGGTACCCATACCCAACTACCTATACCTACGAGGAAACGACGGCTTAACGATAATCCGCTTAACCGATTGGCAACAAAAGCATCAATTTTCGAATAAAAAGTAGGTACGCCTCTGTTTAGCTAAAATGACGTCAAAAATACCAGCTGTGTCAGATGAATAATCCATCTGCAGGGACGTAAGCTGGCGCATTGACTTGACAGGGCTATAGAACTTGTTTCAATTTAATGCGCAAAAATGCAGTTTTGTTGAAAAGCAATGTTGCAATATAGCTCCACCAGACTTATCGGCTGTGACCAAGGTTTTACAGCCGCGGCTAACTGTTTGACCTCGTCTGACCGACAGGCGGGCACCCGGCGGCGATGCAGCACAACTCGGCCGGTCTGAGTCGGCCGGCCGGCTGGCCGCTGCTGATCGCGCTGCTTTGGCTGCCGCTGCTGGTGTCCACGGTGGTGGCACAGGCGCACAGCGGAGACTGAGGGATCTCAGAGGCCAGCTCTCACAAATCTGACCAACTGAGTCTCGGAGGAGGTCGGTGCGGGGCTGAACCTGTGATGCGTTACATTATATCGGTGATGGACGCAATCCTGCGTAATAATGAACACCGATTCCTTACAACCCGATCACAGACGGATTGCAGAGGGACCGCTTGACGATAACACGGGGCTCTATGAGCATGGCAGTATGTAACTCGTTATCGGAGGATTGGCTCAGATCCTAAGGGATCATTGGATGAACAGCTGCTGAGAGTCACATGGAGCTCGACTGCTGTAAGGTTTACAACTGTGACACACCGCGGCTTTGCCACGCGACTAACAATGTTATGTATACGTATTGTACAGTGAAGGGGAGCATGATTATGTGCGACAGACCTACCGTCTCTTCATGGCAGAGCTGATAACGTTACCCGGCGCCACAAATTGGCTCGGCGTCGCGTGACACCAGTGTGACCTGGACACTACTCTACAATGGACCAGACTATCGTATCAAAGGAGCGTCCATGGTGACTACTCTCCGCGCAAAAGGACAATTGGCGCTGCCCCAGTAGCGGAGCCAGGTCTCTTTGTGACAATTGTTCAGTAATATGACTTTATAATGTGACTTTATAAAGTCACAAAGAGACTTTATAAAGTCTCTTTGTGACCTTTGCTGCTATCGATGATGACTGTTTTAAGTGGCCGCGCGATGCTGAGTCAGCTGAAACGTACGGGGCCGGTGTGCCCTGGCTGCGTCACGCTCGACAGCTGAAGTGTTCGGAGAGGCGTACTCTGTCGCAGGCAGTCCGTGACGGTCCGTCGGCTCCTCAGAAGTCGGCGAGGAGCGAGTACAAACCGGTGTGGCGGATCTGAGCTCCGACTAGGCTGGCACGGTTCAGACTCTGTACCGACGCTGGGTGTTAGCTGTCCAGTGGAACCCTGACGCGCGCTGTGGATCGGGGTGTGCTCGTGCAGTGCTGCGATGCAGTGCTAGTGGAATACTTGTCATCATCCCTGATAAAATCATGGATGTGTAGATCTTGGTCTCATCGGTCACATCGGCCACCTTCCTGCTGTTAGAATGAAGTTTGAGAGATCACGCAACATGAATGGGCTGGCGGCCCCATTGGACATTGGTTTGAAAGAAACAGGATCATTGTTTATCATTTGTTGCCTAATTTTGCCAACTCACTACTAAATGCTTCATTATATTTATAGGCATGCATCGCAACCGTATACACTTTCGTCTTAGCCATTAATTTTGTCACAAGGCGTGTTGCGAAAGTATCGATGTTGTATCAGGAACTAACAATGGGACGCTTGGGTGCAATTGTATAACTAACAGTGGCGCATCATAATGCATTCACTGATCATTGGTAAAAGAAATATTGTAATAAATATCAATGTGATATGGGGTGAAAATGTTTGTAACTGTATGGAAGCCGACTATGCAGCTGTTGTCCAAAACACGTCAAAAACGGTTGTCAAAAACACCAATGTCAAACGTTTAACTTGAAGATTATCCAAACAATTCTTTCACAAAAGCTAAAGGTACATACCTAATGATTAACGAGCATGTCTTATAAGGAGCCAAGGGGGAACCATTGTCTTTGAATACAATTCATTGCACCGTCTGTCAATCATACTTCTTAAGCGGTCTGACAAAGGAAACACTATTTCGTTGTTAGTTTCACATCTATAAGGCGTAACAACACCGTTTCCTCAGCTTCCGCCGGTATCTACCGTTAATCAGGCAGCCCTGTATCGCTGTGGGCGGATAATGGCCGCCGTGTGCCATTAGACAGTACTAAGTTTAGACCTGAGCTCATCAGAGCCGAGTTCGACTGACAGGCAAGCCGTTTCCGGTCAGGTCGATGCGCAAGCCGTTCACCTACCATCAGATACGAGGCGAGGAGAGCGATAGGAGATATTTCGGACCGGGCGTTGTCTTGGGGCCTCGACTGGACCTGGCTGCCGGCCCTGTGCCGCGTTCTGGCGCGCCTGGCGCGATATCAGCTCTGAGGGAGGACCAGGAGACCCATTGCGCATGGACACGACCGTGTCATCCGCTGCTATCTGGCCGGTCCGTCGCCGCCGGAGCGACTACCGGCTCTGTTTCGGGCCGACTCTGGACGGAGGTGGAGTCCGAAATGGTACAGACCGGCCCCTGGGGATCACCAGGGGTGCTATACAGACGGGATAATCGGCTGGACGGCGTCTGATAGGAAGGAAATTGGAATCGAGCATGCTGGAAGTAATGTTTACTTTATGCATATGTTATTGTGCGAAGATGCATATGCTGTTTTCATCGGGCCAGTCAAAACAAAACCACTTTATGCAAAACATTGCAGGATTTGAAACTGGGTATCATAACAACAGCCTAGCGAAAGACAGATTTAATGTGACTTTACTGCTGAACATTTTTACGTGCGCTCGCAAGACCGAGTTCAATCCAGAGATTGGAAAGGACGCCGTGCACGACACTCGACTAATCCAGGTCTCGCTGAAAGGATGTGTTACAGTTCAGACCGGCCCAACATTTGTTCCCATTAGAGCAGATAGTGGCACTGGGCAATGGTGTTGTTTTCCTCGGGGACGACTGGCCAGCTAAGCCGCTGCTGAGCCGGATAAAACGCCACCATTTATATGAGCGACATAGATGAAATGTCGGGTGGGAGCGGCCGGCCGGCGGCGGGTGGGCCAGATACGGCAGGCCGGCCGAACCGCACAGCACAGTACAAAATCCAGTCACCGAGGGGAGGAGCGGCGTGGGCGGGTCAAATGTTCACAGACAACATACACGTGCAGTACGAAGCGTAGCGGTAACGCGTACAGCAAGTAGGAATTCGCGTAACTATGAAAAACCTTGACGCAGTGTTCGATGAATGTTGAATGATGACTGGTGATGGTGTCGAGTCACATAATCTCGCTTTTAAATACAATGTGCAATGCTGACTGCCTACAGTTACAACTACAGCATCATTTTCGTTGGCTATGCTCTAAGAGTTTTCAAGCGATATCTACACCAAAACAACAACTATGCTTTATCCAGGGGTTAATTAATACCCACACCGATTGTGATAACATAATTGGCAGTGTTGCATAGCCAGCATTGAGTTACCAAGTAAATTACCTGACGCATCTTGAACAGAAATGAAAGACAATGTCTCGGTGAATTTTACGAGACAACATTCAACGGAAAGATGGTGCATGCCAGGGTATATTGAATTAGGGTGCATGCCACAAAACAGCATACTGTGTTTTGAGAAGCGGAGAACGTCAGCTCCGTGCTCGACATTTACCATCAACAAAATTTACCATTTTTGTTTGGTTTTAGACAGAAAGAGTCGTGATCACGTCAGTAGTTTCCGCAAGCTTGAATAAAGAACGATTTATACAACGAAGCATAACTCATTTTCTGTCCTAAAATTAAGCCCAGACGTCAGTTGTTGAGTTGTAGGTATATTGCATTGATACGTACCCGCTCGATATAAATTTTCAAACACACAACAGTCAACAGAGAATAATGAATACATTCTCCATACTCCTCGGACACCACACTGCTCCTCCACACATGGAAAACAGCGCATCCAACTAAAATTGACACCACACATCGGTTGCCGCGTATTTGGCAATCGGCGCGACACGACGCTGCTCGGTAAAACGTCCAACAAGGTGCGATGACCAGTCGGCGTTTATAGTGTACGTAAGAACTCGGCAATCGCAGTTCACTTCAATAAGATGGTAAAAAAATGAAGACAACCGTAACACTGGCCACACAATAGTTGGGTCCGGTCCACCTTACAAGCGATTAGTCCTCTTGAGCATCCCCCGTCCCTGAGTGCCGACCTCTACCGCTCCACCCTCGTATCACCCAGCCTCACACTGTCTGCACGGGACGCTGCTCAGAACAGACGACCAGGGGCGGCTGCCACCGTTACGATAACTGTCCGCCACTCGGCCGCCGCCTGTGTCCTATGGGTCGTGCATCCCGCGCTGTCGTACCGTCGCATCACCCATTATCACCAGCCGGTGTGGCGACCGGGCGAGCGTCTCCGACACGGCCGAACAGCCCACCTAGCTGAGCATCCCCGAGCGGAATATCTGCTGCAGGATCTGCGGGATCTTCTTGAGGTCCAGACAGACGAACGACCGGCCGGACGGTAGCTGCTCGCTCAGCCTGGAGACAGACACGGAATGGTGATACGCACAGCAAAGGTATTCAGGATGTGTCATACGGAGAAAACATTGGAAAACAATCTACCTATACAAAGACCAGCACAAAAGTACACGATACCTCGTTAAAATCACACCAAAGAGCTGGTGTGCTCACATATTTTACATTCTCCTCTCGTCTATCCCTTCGTCCGTTTACTTCCCAAAACCCTGACGGTTCATCCCGTCCATCCGTTCTTATCCGCTTATACCCTAGCCCACACGCCTATTCGTCGGTCCGCTCGTTTCTCGCCCGCCGCCATTCTGTCCGTCGGTCCATCCGTCGGTCCGTCCGTCCGTGGGTCCTTGTTCGTCGGGTGCTGGCGCCGCGTGTCAGTCTGAATGGCCCGCATGGCCGCATAGCAGCCGACAGTGCCTTATCTGTCCGACGGGGATGGCACCGGCAGGCACCGACGGCGGCGGGGGGGGGGGGGGGGAGGGGGGAGAGGATGGTAAAGGAGGGAGGCAGAGGGGGTGAGGGGTCATAGTGATAGGGAGTGGGAAGGGGCAGAAACGGATGTGGTAGAGGGAATGATGGGAGGCGATGAATATATAGCCGTATTGCTGGGTGTTGTAGGGGAACAAAATGACCGACAGTGGAAGGCATCACTGCCTAATGCAGAGCTGCGACATTCGAGAGGCAGCTTTTGCAGATCTCACGGGCACAAAACATTGCAACAATCTTGACCGATCACAATGATTCGTTTCCAGCCAGATGAATTGGCGACAGGGCCATGAATTGGCCCAATCGAACACATACAAATAAAAACAGTTCAACAGGGCGTTCCTCCCCGAACTCTATTATACATCTGATCGCCCAGAAACCGGAGCCGACTGAGCTTACTCTCACCCAAGACTTTCTGCTCGGATGCTCATCCGTTCGCCTAGTCTCCCAGAAAGGCGAGAAGGGTGAGCTCACTCTCACATATGTACGAGCTTTCTAATAATCATGCCCGTTTGCTCACCTGTCCGCCTGGTCGTCCGGAAAGGTGCGAAGGGTGAGCTCACTCTCTCACTCTCTCACTCTCACACAGGACTAACTTCCCCCTTTGCTCACCTGTCGGCCTGGTCGCCCAGCGATCCGAGGAAGATGGCTGAGGTGTTGACGTCCGGATTACTGGTGAGCACGCGTCGGAATTCCTCGGGACGGATTCCGTACCGCTCCAGGTTGGCATCTGTGAAAAGACAGAAATCATTCCGTTGAAAACAATAAAACGGGGGCAAGTGACATGGGCTGGGTCGAACTGTGTGCAATGTCTCCCAGCAAACATGTCAAGAATCTCGATAGAAATCATGAAACTAAGGCGGCCGTAGCATGACAATGCGCCCAAGCCAGTATGGCCTGCAGATTATGAACAGCTGTAAAACGCATGCACGTTTAGCACGGCGCGTTTCGCGTCTGTCTGTGCCATTGCAGTGCAGTTTTACGACGCCGACAGGAGTCGTCTGCCGTCGGACCGTCGCCGTGATGAGACTGACGGCAGTTGGCAGTCCGTTCTCGTGGCTCAAACGGACCGCGGGGTCGTTACGGTCTGGAGGGAAGGCCGGGGTAGGTGAGGGATGCTGCGGTGGGTGGTACATGGGTGCCGAGGTGGTCAATGGATGGACGCTGGATGTGGTGAATGGATGGACGCTGGATGGTCATTCATGAATAAGTGCAAGAGGACAGGTGCTGGATGTTCGGCTTCAATCGATGGGTGTTGATGTGTGTAGAGTCTTTTTCTGCACAAAAGGAGTGTTAATATTATCCAAACATCTGTCGCCGTATTGTCTGGGAGGAAACAGATATGACGGAAATGGATTACCTTCCACAATACCTCATTGTTGTTCAACGCCTGCTTGGCCTGATGAGCCTGTGTTTAGAGTGGCTGCTTGTCTGAAAACACTGAATATGAGACATTTTCCTCCCGGATGCTTGACGCTTCTCAGGCCGTTGTGTCAAGAGGCGGCGGGCGCGGCGCGGGAAGCCCTCTCTCCTCTCTCAAATAACCGTCTCTGTCGTCCGGAGCAGAGTGGCGGCGGCAGGGCGGCTCCCCGTGGGGTAGAGGACAAAGGCGCTCGGCGGCGGCCGCCGGACGGGTCGCCGCGGCTCTGTAACCCTGCGACCGAACAGTGGCCGGCCGGCCGGGAGACAGCCCTGTGTCACAGCACGTGCTCATCCGCAGATCAGACACCGGTGGCAGCCGCCGCCGGCCACGGGGGAGGCTGCGTCCTATCACGTGCGGATCGTACCCCGGAGCAGCTGCCATCACAGCGCCCGTCGGCGGAAATCGGCCCAAAGGTCGACCACGGTGTGACATTTAGCCGACCCACCTGGCCACGACAGGATGCAAATATATGATGATTCTAATACTTGACTGCAGACCCGCGTTTCCGATATGAATATTCTTCACAGATGTGTGTCAAAATCAGCTTCTCGTCTTCAAATCCGACCGTCGGTTGGTATCGAGGGTCGCCGCCGGGCAGGTCAGTCCACAGAAGACGTTCGCCCCTCAGCAGGGCTCGTCGGACTAGTTGAGCTAGTTTGCCCACTCCTAAACTCCTATCGGGCACTTGACGGCAAAGTTAGCGAGAACCAGATGCGCTATCGCCGAAACTCAGCCGAAAAACGTAAACGACATCGTTAGCACGGCGAAGAACCAAAATAAGGTTACCAGAATAAAATGATCGTAAAATTGGCTCGATGACTAAACAAGCAATAGCATAGATAAGAGTACAATTTTCCTATTCCGAGATGACCGCTGGTTTTTATATTCCGGCTAAGGCCTCAGAAATTGTCTAAAAATGGTCTAAAGCCCTGTCTAAAAGTGGTCTAAAACAATGGTCTAACAATGGATAAAATGATCAAAAATTGTCTCAAAATAGAAACTAATTGAATCTTCTCACTCTTTTCATGACGAAGCAAAATTGGAAACGGGTAAGGTGGAATGACATTAGACACTAGATAATAAAGAAAGCGCGAACATAAAAAATCCGACATTCGAGTCACACGGGCCCGCTGAGCATTCGACCCTACCTCTCAAAATTAAATGGGCTTTAGAAATATTCATCTCATTTTGATACCTTGCACGCACACTGTCGGACAATCGGTGGTAGTGAGCTCGCCGAGTTACGCAGCGCTATCCCAGATTGACAAACACCCGCCGTTTGCAAACTAGGGACACCAACCGCACAACACACACACCGAACCGCATTAGAAAATGACACCACAACGAAAGGGCTCTATTACTGGCCACAGTGCCACTCTGAAAGCAGAAGCCAGCCCGAGGCTCGGCGCCCGGCGGGTCTGAGAAAATTACCTGCAATTTGCACGGAGCCCACAAGTTGCGCCGCGGAGTCGCACAAAGCAGGTGCAAGAGCACACCAAAGAAGCACCTTCCGGCTCCATTTCCTGATTGGCAATGTCCTTTTACGGTGTTTTTCTGCGTCCGTGACAGTGCCCACCACTCAGAACACGTATGATACAAATGGGCATGGGTTGTAGTGCAGATAAAATGAAGTAAGGTGCAAAAAAAAATGAAGAGTACCTAACGACAACAAAGAACGTGGACCGAGAACAGACTGCCTATGATCCGACTATAGAAATGACGTTGCATTACAATGCATTAAAGGTAGTGTGCCAGCTTTCTTGGACCGTATGGAGTTAATGGCCCAGATAAGGAGAACCGGATTTTTAGAACTTTTCCATACCTTCAAAACTCATGGAAACGTCTTAAATTCTTCAAATTTTGAGTACCCCAGTGCGAAATTCGCCCCGACGGGTTGTCGGTCGTACCCCAACCACATTTCACACCACTATGAACAATAAATGCACACACTGAAATCGCTATTACCGATATGCTCATCCAATCAAGTTTCGATAAACCCGTTCATCATCATCTCCTGCGGTTTCGAACACGCCTGTTAGGCGGCTTCTGATGCTCGTCGGGGTCGGAATTTCCAAATACGCGTGGTGCGTCGGGCCGCGCGCTCTGACTTCGGCCAAGAAAAATGCGTCAGCTGATCATTGTCATTTCTGCCACTTGCGTGTGGTGAAATGGGGTCATAACTTAAGAGACGGCTGTTTTATATCAATTATTTTACATAAAATCATATTTCAAACCATAAATTAATGTTCGACAGCCAAATAAAAGAAACAATACCAATACGGGCTTACAGTTTAAGGCTCGACATTGTGTTGTCTACGATTAGACAGCTGATAACTCATTCCCGTACGTCGTATGGTCGTAACACTATAATGACCTTTGCTTATTGTCACAAGTGCGCCGCATTCGCGATTGTTGCCCGACGCCTGTTTGCAGGTGAGCCCACTACAGTTGTTATACATATCTAAAAACCGATAAACTTTTAGGCGAAAAAGGCACTATTCCAGGCCCATTTTTGATTTTTTTTGCGATATTAGGTAAAAACAGAAGCTTCTTATCCTAGGAAAAATAAAATGGGAAATCTTTCAAAGGTGGCACACTACCTTTAAGCCACGACGTTAAACCAACGCAGATTGAGATTTTATGAACCAACAACAGTAAAAAACTGTTTCCTACCTATTCCCGCAAACAGTTCTGGGTATGTTACGAAAGCATCACAAAACTGAACACTTAGGTACGTGCATCCAACAAACCGTCGACCTTACGCTGGGCTGAACTCATGCAAACAGGGCCTCTCGCGATCAATTGCCAGCCACTCGACGGGTTAGATCTGCATCCTGTTCAGTGTTCATTTGATCCACTCAGCACAAACCGAGTGTTGTGTTACGTTTCTTAAATAGTCAACTTGCGTCCCGCCGCGTTACTAACCGAGTGTTGTGTTATATTTCCTGAACCATCACTTTTCGTTACGTTACCTTACTAACCAAGAGTAACGTGTTACGTTTCACCCTGCGTTGGGTACGTCCCGTTTCGTTCCGCTCCGGTGTCACATTACCCGACAGCACGATGACGTCACGGTACCTAACAGCACGATGACGTCACATTACCTGAAAGCACGATGACGTCACAATATCTGACCGCACGATGACGTCACGTTACCTGAGAGGACGATGACGAACGCTTCGTCACTCTCCTCGGCGGCTATCGAGCTGATGGCGTGCCTCGTGGCCTCCACGGTGCGGTCGCCAGACAGGCAGAACTGCGAGTGCGCGTGCATCGTCTGCGGGCAACGCGGGCAGGCGAGACACACATCAGCCAAGCAGCGAAGGAGGGATCCACGTGACGGGGGAGGGGGGGGGGGGGGGCGTCATCGACACAGAGTGGCGACATGACGACTGCACGGGGACGACAATAAATGAGATCTGAGATAGTTATCAATCAGGGAATTTACGTGATTCATTGGATTTTGTAGCAATCACACAGTGAATAAAAAGACAAAGTCGATAAGCGTACCAACTTCATGTAACGTTAATGCTGTTACGCTAGCATCACGCAAATATTTTGTTCGGAATGCAATACATAACATGCTTTCTTAAATAGCAGTTCGGAGTTCCCCTAAACAATTTTTCTTTCGAAATATATGAAATACATCAGATAAATGATAAGAAAGGTTCATGTATAAAAGATCAGTCATGAGGAGCTCCACTCCCGGTCCGTTCCCAGGGGAGATATAACACAGCTGCCGGGTCGGGTCAGCGGGAGTCGCCCGGATTACTGCTATGGGCCGTGGAGCGCAGTACGACCACCGCTACCGGCGCCTCGGGGCGCCACAGATGACGTCAATAGGGTCAACTTAGAGCCGCTGAATTCTTTAGGATAATGCAGCAATCACTGCAGACGGGATACAGGTTGAAGACTTCGTAGGTAGGAAGTCATAATGCCACCTCAACCTAACCTTCGGAAGCTGAAATTAAAGTCTTCTTCCCAAACAAGCACTAGAAGACAAAATAAACATGGTTACAATACAACTATTGACGCTTCACTGGTGCCATGAGTGCTATATCATGGCACGCATAACCCGAATAATACCTAAATAGAGTTCACAAGACAAATACTTTCCATTAATGTACAAATCAACGTAAGAAATTAAAAGAAATGCAGTTGCTTTTTGCCAGAACTTCAATAAGAATAGCTAAGTGGTGCATGACGGGCAGAATAGACACAGATGAAGGCGACACCCTCCAATATTGAACAAGTTTGCAGAACGAGCCCTTATGCATTCATGTTACATTCCTAAGCACTCTATTCCGTTCCGGCAATAGTCATCAGCACGAAACAGCAGAACATGCTTTCCCGCGCGCTGCTGTCACAGGGCGTTAGATCTTTATGGTGATAATGCACAGTCCTGAAAAACGCCCGAGTCGTTATCATGACAGATAGCAGGAAACGACAGTCGGGGAAACAGGGCATCGCTATGCATCACTTCCCGGTGACTGCATGGTCTATTTGTGCCAGAAACAGAGCAGTAGCTGGCGCCTCGGCGGGCAGCCGACTGTCTGGACGAGGGGTCCCACATTGGAGTGACTATGTCAAAGCGTTGTCTGCCTCACAGACAGCAGTCCTCGGTCTTTGACGTCTGGGAACCACGGGGTTGGGCAGACAGGGGTGGCTAGACGACAGGGAAGGAGGGGGAGTGTACCTACTACTGGGATGGTCGACGGTCATTGCTTGGGTAAGTGTCGCCCGACTAGGGCTGAACAGCGGGGGCTGGGGGCTGGGACAGAGGGGAGCCTGGCTGGTCCGCCGGCCGCCCGGGCGCCGTTTCAGCTCGACATCTAGCCATCGGCCGACACCTCATGCAAATGCGATGATCTGTCACAGCCCGCCGCCGAGAGCGACAGAACGGGAGGCGTTTTATTATTTAGGCCGGCTCTGGAGGCCGTCCCAGGCGGGGCAGAGATGGAAGGGGGCTGAGATGGGTGCTGTGTGACTGTAAACGAACGGGCGAGTGGGAGGCCCATGGTAGTGCGGCGTTTGGCCACAGTGCCCTAAATAAACGGAGCTGGGAATAATGCGCGCTTGACGAACGACGATCATCGGCAGATTTTATGCCAATGCAAAACAAGATGGCATCATGGGAACATGTAAGAACTTGGGGGGGGGGGGGGGGGCAGCAGGATATGATATGCAATATACAGCACTTACACAATATTGCATTTTTAAGCCATCAGGGGATAAAAATTTATAATGACTGCTGAGCTGGCAACGCCCAATTTTCCACCTACTGTCCATTTATCAACTATAAAAATACTAATAGTATAATAACAGACGATACAAGGCAGCATACTTCTACGTACTAATCCCTTATGTTCTCATGACATCATATATTCACATAACCCCTTACATTGCCCACTTCATTCCTAGCTTTATTACATCTTAACAATGCTAGCCACGTCCAAAGGCCATTTGGCCGGTCGTTGAACTGAATCTGTTGCAACTATACGGCCAGGAGGGTAGGTACTCAGAATGGGCGACAAGGGTCGGAACAAGGTCAGATGCGTCTGTCGAGGGGAGAGGACGGGGCGGGAGAGGTTAGCTAGCGGGCGACCTCTATCAAGGGGAGAGGATAGGGCGAGAACGGTCAGTCAACCAGCGACCCAGGGTACAAGAGCGCTAAAATGACAAGATGCAGGGCGGACAAGCCCGTCGGTCTATGGGACAACATCACCACTGTGTTCATCAACAGGCGGAGGAGTGCAAAGCAGCGTGATAAATGACGTCATTAACTGCGACACAAGTTTCGCGTGTCTTGTATGCAGCTCCGTGCGTTCGGCGACAATCTATTCGTCGCGCGCTTCACAACATATTTGTTGGGCCGAGTTGGCGTGCTGATCGCGGCGAGTCATGGCGCATACTGAGCAGGCGGCCGCCCAACTACGGCACTCTGTCTCCGGTACTGTGTGCCATCCATCGGCCGCGGAAAACCACGGCGGAACCAATATCGACGCCGCTCGGAGCCAATCGATAACAATCCAATTTCAATGTGATGAGCTCCGGCTGGACGGTAGATGAGTCATGACATGAACTCGAAACAGGAAAAAGGGTGGGATTACTGAAAGATATTAGTTTTGCGATGAAATAAAGGCGTTGTTCACTTCACATGAGAGACAGAGTATAGGACGGAGCCGTACATAATTAAATGACACATTAAGTTTGCGAATGCTTCAGCTGCGTCTCTTTCTCAGCACCTTTTCGATTCTGTGATATAGCATTTCTTGCACAGTAGCTCGTGCCCCGATTCACTGACATTTTAATTACGGAGCGAGCGAAGCGAGCGTAGTCTTTCCTTAGATTAACGGAAATTTCTGAGTATGAGCGGCCGGCCGGCCGGCCGGCCGGCCGTGGTCACGCTTTTGCGAGGCTTATATCTCAGCAACCACTTAACCGATTTACACGCGGTAATTTTTGTAGGGTAGCTTCATTCCTTCTACCAAGTATTGGACTATTCCTGATGCATGTGGGTGACCCCTTATGCACGTGCCACGTGCAAAACGAAGAGGTGTCCGTTTTGTAATTGTTGCAATATCTCGGTAACTACTTGGCCGATTGCGCTGAAAGTTGGCATGTAGGTAGGCACCCACTAGGCACTGCATATCCATGTGCTAGAGTTGGGGCGCTGCTGCACGTGCGCACGTGCAGGGGTCGTTTCCAGATCTCGAGAACGGCTCGACCAAATTCCCTCAAATTTGGTACACAGTTAGGGACCGGTTAGTAGGGTGCCGTGCACAAGTCAGTTGGGACCCATTTTGCACGTGCGCACGTGCAGGGTGCCGCTTCCAGATCTCGAGAACGGCTGGGCCGATTGTGCCCAAATTTGGCACATCGCTAGAGACCGGTTAGTAGGATGCCATGCACAAGTCAGTTGGAGGTACCCCCTCGCAATTTCGCACGTGCAAGGCCCACCCTCTCGCTCGCTCCGTTAGTCGCCCCAAAAGGCGTTATACTGGTTTTATTGAGCTTGTTAGCGGCGGCTGCCGACAAACGGAGAGAACACGATAACGTGTATCCACTAAGGAGAAAATAATCCGTACATCACGCAATGAATAAACCGGCGATTACCAGGCTTTTGGTTCGAAGCTTTTGTGCATAGGCACAAAGAGCAATCGCCACTATGTTATTTAAAAAAAAACACTTGTACCGTAAAGTGGGGCTATTTGAGACAGTATTTAAAATCGCTATAAAATGAAGATCGTTTGATTCTTTTGTGATGTTTTTCTTCAGGGAGGTGTGGAATCGAACAGTAAATGGCCTGGCCAAAAATTGAGCATAAATTTCAAATGGTTTTTATTTTATAGCAATTCTAAATACTGTCTCAAATAGCCCCACTGTCTCAAATAGCCCCACTTAACGGTACCCAGAACACCGCTACCATTACTGTAAGGAATGTTCCCGACATCCCACACCTTCCATGAAGCGAATAGGGTTGGGGAGAGCAAATCTCATTAAGGATAACAAATCTCATCGGTCACGGATCCAAACAGTCAACAACAATCAATGGTCCTTCATCATTAACTCTGCATTCTATTTCGCGAGGTTCAGCAATGTGTTTGCTGGGTATGATTGCTTCCACGGATCAGAAACTTCAAAGGTGCGGACTGCGGGGGACGTGTTAATCAAACTTCAGTCTTTTCCAACACCTTCCGCATATAATGAAATGAGGCAGGGGAGGGCATTACCAGGCCAGTCGGTAAAAACATGCTCTGAGTCACTGGGTTATCGTCCAAATATATAATGAAATACACACCAGCCAACTATATTGATTGAAAGTGAGCTAGGATCGCTTCAGTACCTATACCTGATCAATGATCATCGACTAGAGTTTAATCAAGCGCATTATATCCTGCAAAGCCAGGCGACGCCCGAGAAAATTATTGTATTTATTTATTTAGCGATGCTTTTATTTACTATTCTATCCCGGTAACTTTAAAAGAAATATATATTTACAAAACGCACAGAATAACTACACGAGCGGAGCAGAGCTATTTCCGTCGATATCAGTGTGGCTAAAGGTCATCTAGATCGAGGAAATCGGATGAATGCTTTGAAAACGCATTAGTTTATTATATTTCAAGTATTTACCTAAGTTGTCATCTTATATCTATCCGGTCCATTTGAGGCTGCTGGTCCGTAAATGTTCATTTATTATCGAAAGAGCTGGAGCCCCTAATACCGCAGATAAATTGGGACAGACAAAATACAGCTGGGGGAGGGGGGCATGCACCTCATCAAATGCATAGCAAGCACCAATCATGACGCTAGGGTACACAGCAGTGAAAAATCCAAACATTGGACCAGCGCGGCGGCGAGCACCTACAGCGACGGACGGAACGCCTGGAAGCTATGCTGTGCCGGATAGCAGCCATGCCGTGCGGCACATGGGCTCTGCTGACATGCACCGATGCTAACCTTTCCGCTACAGAGCATGGCTCAGTCATATCTGACATGACACCGCACTTGCGCGTGCCGCGTGCGATTAGATACCTACAAATGGACGCAGATGAAATTGTCTCGCTGTGAAAGAAAATGTAATATTCTAAGAAGTTCGAATGTCTTGAACTCTTGATAATGTGGTACACAGCAATGCTTTTTAATTTTTAAATGATGACTACGATGGCTAACACGTTACAGTGTACTTCCATTGGGCGCAACAGCGATTTAAGATAAGTGGCAGCTTCGGTGTTTGCTGTTTATTGACGGAGGGGGGGGGGGGGGGGCTAAATGTGGAGCACCTACCATATGTGCCAATTCTATCGTAGCTATGCATATAAGCCTTAATTCGCGTTTCGTAGGACAATAAAAAGGATATAATTTTCAGGTATTTTCATCCCCTCCTAAAAAAGGCATTAACCAGTATTATTATGTTCGAGCTTCCAGCACAAGCTCCCAGTTCAAATTCCGCTCAGATATTCTTAGTAATAGGCAGCAGGAGTGTTGAGCAACACACCTAACGTCAGCGTGTAGCATAAATAAAATCGTAGGCACATTATCGACTGGCGGCTCATTTGCTAGAAAATTCCCAGAAGTGATGTAGCAGCAATAGCATTCTTTGCCGAGACAGCTTTCCAAACAACTCCCTATACTGTATACAGAGGCAGTTGCAGACGGCTGTTTCCATCACGTTACTTTGTACCGTCGCTGTGAGGCGGTCGCCGGTCGCCGCTCTGGGCTGCTCCCCCGACCAGCTGACCGCGCCGGGTCGAACTGAGACGTATTGCCGCCTGCAGCGTACCTCCCCCGGCCGCGCGCGCGGCGAACCCCGCGCCTTATCTGCGCCTCACCACGCCGGGCCCGCTCCCCGACTACCCACCGCGGCATCAGCCGGTTTATGGACTGCCGCTCCTAACAGAGTGCTAACACATGGATGGTTGGTTCGAGCTCGCAGCCGCGGGAGCTCTCCATTTTAGTCGTCACTGGAGGTGGTTTATCACACCGACGCTGTGTCCCAGAGACTCTTTAAGCATGCTATTTATGTGATCCATGTTTGAAACCTTACCTTGAGCACCTGCAGGCGCTGTTTGTTGTCTGTGGGCGGCCGGTCGCTGCGGACAAACTCCACGCGGTAGTCCTCACCCGAGTGGCCCACGATGTCGTATCTGAAACGTAGCACACAGATCGGTGAGCCTCTAACTGAAATCAAACTCGGCAACAAGTGAAAAAATAATACACGCTTGAACACGTATAATTAACAACGTTGTTATTTCCCATGCAACAATCGCTTCCATAATCACAGTAATTGTAGCTAAACACGACAAATTGAGTGCGAGAATCTGAGATGTGCGATAAAAAAAAAAAACACGCATAACTCAAAGCATAACCCGTCTGAGGCAAACAAAATAAGTGTCAAACTTGAACGTTTTGCTCGACCTGACACTCTTTTTACTTCAAAAGAAGAACAAAATAACTTTCCGAAATGACTGGTAGGTATTCTGACTACCTGGAACTCGTTGTCATGAAATTATGCATGTGATATTCCACTGCCAAGTGTCGCTGAACATCACAGGGACACGTCCTATTAAGATTCCGGCTGTCCGACGGGGATCAGAGCTACGACAGCTTCTCAGCTTGTTAGCATTCCCTTCCTGAATTTGACATGCAACCGATCGTGTTCCAATTTTAGCACTAAATCCGGACATTCGAAGCGTACATGGGAAGGTTGGACGCAGAGCGGGACGAAATCCTGCTCGTCCACAATGACGGCGGTTACCGATTTCACGTTCGAGGCGGCGGTAGTTGACGCACCAGTCACATCTCAACAGACGTTCTGATTTCATTTGGCAGAGATAATCCCAAGAGATGGCCAAACACAGGCACAAGCAGACCTGACATCTGGTCAGATTTACGGGCATTAGAGAGACAAGAAACCCGGATAGAATTGTTCAGAGGAAGGCTGAACACAAAGCGCCGAGCCGGAGACAAAAGATTGATAAGAAATGGGTCCGTGTCGATATCACGAACCGAGGGGATGCGAGTTCGAAGTGGGCATTTTCATAGCATCGTGGACAATGTAATAACTATGTGGAAGACAAAGGTATGTCCGTCAGGTCCTCCAAATAACTGCGGGATACTTATGCAAACACTATTTATGCAAAAAGTCTGCAAGAACAACATACATTCCCAGATCCGTCGTCCTTACATTTCGAATGTGAGGAAGGATAGGCAGCAGGAGGTGACCTAGACCGTGGGCGACACAGTTCGCCGGGCGAGCTCACCTGAACTTTTGCTCGTATCCCTCGAACGCCTCCATGACCAGCAGGGCGGCCTCCAGCATCCGGTCCAGGCGGCCGTCGTAGCCGTTAAACCTGCCGGCGCAGACGTAGAGCTGCCGTTAAACCGACAGAACGGACACACCTGCCGACGCCCAGACTGAGCTGCCGTTAAACCCGCCCACACAGACTCGGCCCCGTAATGAAGTCTGTCCACACAGGGCAGCTGTTTAATTACTCACGTGTTCGTGAGTGAACAAAACTGAGCATCATGGCAGGGAAAACATCCGCTAAGAGCGGCAGCTACTTAAGACAGTTGTGCAGTACATCTCATTTATCTGTCTACGGCGCCCTTAATTCAGACACTACTTAATCATTTCAGTAAAAGCTGGGATAACTCTCCAAGAGCCAGACACAAATCATCAGAGATTACTCCGATGCGAGCGTCGTATATTCCCTCTCGGCTGGTGGGGCGCCCCGCCCAATATCGTGCCGTAGCGCGTGGCCGAGCCACTCTCCCGGCTCGACCCCAGGGCGGACGCGGCGTCCCGACTGCAGTGGGTCGCCCGCCTCCCCAGGGGAGCGGCGCCCCCCGCCGCGGTGCCGCACAATCTCCCGGCCGGCCCGGCGGGCGGCCGGGCCCGATCACAGGCGGAGCACGCGCGGCGAGACGTCATACAACACCACTCGGCTCTGCCCTCCTCCCCCCCGGCGGGCGAGCAGGCGGGGGCGAGCCAGGTCGGGTGCTGTCATTGATCAGAGCGCCGCCCAAGCCAATCTTCATCAGTTACAGAGTGCAGGAACACGCTGTCGCTGCCGGCGGCCGCTCACGCACACGGTCGGACGTGATTCAGCACCCTTCCGTCGACGCTCGGGTGCGTGTGGGTGGTCAGGGGTGCGCCACGTGCGGGGAGGGTGCTTGTTATCACCGGCTGCCAGAGAGGTTGCTGCCAGCCGGGCGGCCGCCGCCGGCGCGCTGGAAATGGAACTCTAATGAGAGGTGATCGTGTGGACGGACGGCGCGGCAGGGCGGGATATGACGGGCGGATGAGGCGGCGATGAGGGATGTGGCGACAAAGGCTCAGTGGGCAGTGCGGCGCCCATCGACTGCCCCAGCTGCAGCGTATGTGCAGCGTACTCGCTTCGCTCTTATAGTCCTATCCATTGATGCCCACCGAAGTGGGAGATATTCCCGTACGAAAGGTTTACCGAGAAACAAGTAAAGATGAACATCTCCTGATAACAAACTACAGTTATCATTTTTTTTTCCTGAGAAGAGGCAGGCAGGTGCAATACGTAGAATTAATCAAGTCAACTCTGATTGAAAAGAACAGCCGCCACACGCAATCATTAGGTACCGTTCCGTATAAGCGCCAATATGAGGACCCGTGCATTGAAATAACAATAACATAATACCAGGATGAATAGATTCCAAAAAGCTGTTGTCAGTCAAGACGATCGCAATAACCGAGTTCCGTTCCTCGATGTAAGAAGTGCGCACCAAACAGCACCTCCGGCCCCGCTGTTGCGCTGTCAGATATAAGGACACCAAATTGGCACGGAAGCTGTTCAAACTCTGTTCTAATGCAGAGATGCAGCAAGGATGTTCAGTCTTCCGAGAAGGAATTTCTCACCCCTAGCACCACAAAAATCGGGTGTTTTTTTTTTTTTCTAAACATGAAACTGAATAACAGCACCGATTAGCGTTGCTACCGTCCACCAAAATTCAGCTTCGTCTATGGGTGGTTACAGTCGGGCTTGTATCGCTCACATATTGCTAGTTTTCACCCATCTACATGCTGTAGTGGTTAGGATGACACAATCCACTCGTCTCAGTTTCACCCAGGAGCAGGAGCTGACCGCTGTCGAGTCACTGACCTGTACATGCTGCCCGAGACGTCTGTCACCAGCTTCAGTCGCTTGGGCTTCTCCTGCGGCGTGCCGAGCTCGGGCTCCTGCTCGCCGCGCCGCTTGTAGATGGTGCGCTCGCCGGTAATACCTGACGAGGGCGCGGCAGGTCAGGTCAGGTCAAGGCGTGGCAGTTGGGTCGGGTAACAGAGTGGTAGATCGGATCAGGTCAGAGCGCGACATATCGGGTCGGACTAGGACGGGGCACGTTCAGTAGTCTCTGTATCCCTTACATTCACACCTCGCCAGTCAGCCGAGACAAAATAACTATTACCAGAACGGAACAAGAACAACAACAAAAAAGACAAAAAGAATGTTGAAACTGTGCACGTTTATCGATAAAGAATGTTTTATTTTAAACTTAAAACTGTCGTTTTACAGGCGCCTCATCAAACCTACCTTCGATCAGTTTAGCGTCGTCCAGCTCTCCTGAAGTCTGGTGTTTGAGCCACTGGCGCTCCTTGCCCTTGGCCTGGAGACTGGAGAGCAGCACTCGCAGGGACTGAACCTGTGGTGGGCACAGCCAGAGCGTCAGACAAGATTTCCCTTCAGGCGACAGACATGGTGGAATCACAAGTGTCCCAATCCCTGCTTTTGAGCTTCCTCATTTGTTTATTTCCCTTCTCTATATCTTCCCTCCCCTCTTTCCCTATCACCCTCTCTAAGTGGCTTCATCGTCACACCGCTCTTGCTACCTCAGCCTGTCCTCACTATCCAGTATTCATATCAGCCGCGAGAACGTCCTGTTTCCGACTACCTCTCCCGTTCCCGACCACCTCCCGGCGCCGCCGCTGGCTCGGCCAACTCACCTGTTTGCGAACGTTGCCGCTCATCTGATCGTACATGGCGGCGTCGTGCTCGGACATCCGGATCTGGCGCAGCCGCTCCTGGTAGGCGGCCCGGTTCATCTCTCTGGCCGCCTTCTGCACGTGCTCCGGCACCGCCTCCTTCTCCCAGTCGGGGACCTGGGGACGGGAGAGGGGAACACAGTGACGGACAGGCCGGGTAACGCCAACGGGGCGAGATCCAACGCCACTGGGCCTGGGCAGTAGAAGGAACAACACTCAGCAATTTAAACAAATATTCTACAATAGATACACAGGGTCAGCACAGGATACGAGTACATCTAGGGTGCTACATCTAGGTTACTACCAAGCCATTATGGTAAGTTTCCATCTATTTCACGGTTTTCATTTCAGTCGATGCCATTCGGCTCAGGGTGACCTCAGAGCGCGGAATCAGCCAATCGATGCCGCCAGACTCGGCTATTGAGAGCCGACAATGGCGTCTGACGTTCCATCGCCGATACAAGTGGCGGAGCGGCACACCAATACAAGGCTCAAAACCTGGCACCAATCGGCTGTGTAAATCGCACAGATGCGGCATATGTCTCCGATGATATTGGGGCTTAGCGCCAAGCTGTCACTAGCGAAAGTAAGCCGCTCATAACTAAACAGGGCTGACGCCATGACGCCGTGAGCTTTCCCTATTACTGCAGGTAGGTAAGAAATGGAGATGTTCCTTTTTACATCTTACCATTAAACCGTGAGAACAGAAACTGACAGTAGTTAAGTGCGTCAGAGCTGACATTTTAAGTATTTATTTTCGTAATTGCTCTCCTTCTAGCGACGAAAAGAGCGTTTCCGGTCGACGCTGGTCGCTGGCTAAGCGGATTGCTCAGCTGAGTGGAAAGTAAGCCCAAAGTGGGCTGACGGCTTTCGGTTGACGTCTGTAAGAGGCCGGGCTCACAGGCGGTATACCGACGGGATGAGACGGTCCCCGGCGGTCCACCCTCGGTCTGCCGCCCCTCCCTCGGCGGCGCCCACTGCCGCCGCCCGTGGTGCCGGGCAGGGTCGGCAGTGACCCCTGCGGTCCGCACAGCAGGCGGGTGGGAGGTGCATGGCTATATACAGCGCTTATGGGAATCCGGGGATACAGCAACGGGTCGGCCGGATGTCAGAAAATGAGAGATGAAAAAAAACAGAAAGGAAACGAAGGATAAAATACAGGGAAGATAAAAGATAAAGATAGGTACCCTGCCCAAAAGGTGGAGAGAAGAAGAAAAGAAAAGGATAGGAAGCGCGTTTGGCAGAGAGAGAGAGAGAGAGAGAGAGAGAGAGAGAGAGAGAGAGAGAGAGAGAGAGAGAGAGAGAGAGAGAGAGAGAGAGAGAGGGAGAGAGAGAGGGAGAGAGAGAGAGGGAGAGGGAGAGGGAGAGGGAGAGGGAGAGGGAGAGGGAGAGGGAGAGGGAGAGGGAGAGGGAGAGGGAGAGGGAGAGGGAGAGGGAGAGGGAGGGAAGGAACTGAGGTGGAAAAAACACGGTTAAAATTAGGTGAACCGGAGTAAAGCGATCTGACGTAACAATAAAGAGTGAAGGGAACACCGCCATTTTCAACAGACCTAAAATAACACCTCTTCAGTTATGCAGCGAGGTCTCGTTCAGCACCTCGGGTGAGCGGTACCGTCTCCATTGACCCAGGCCACCATAGACCGTCGACAGAAGCCCCGCGCAGCTCGGGTCGCAGCCCTCGGGGAAAATTGTGTCTGCCGGGGACGGCGGCAAGGCGGGCTGGCAATGACAGCGCTCGGCGCCTCCTAATCCCGCCCTAAACCCGTGGATTCGCCTGAAAGGTGGGCAGACAGGCTTCTCCATGACCACCGCGGGCTGCACATGGGCTCTAAAGGGACAACATACGGCCGGTGCACACAATCGGCACCCGCACCCCTTCAGTAGAAGGCGAGGCGAGGCAAGTCGTCACACTCACAATGTGCCATCAGGCCTGTGCAATTTTTCTCATGACTTTAGGTACTCATCAATAAAATGATTTTGCTTAGAACACAAGCAGACATTGCCCTGCTTCCTTTGTTTCTGAAAAATGGCTGTTTTGTTTTTGTACGAGCAGATACTCCAAATATGACCGGAGAGGGAACGACAGGATGATGGGAAGGATGGTCTGATCTATTTCATCGTATCCTTTCTGGCACCAGCGCGGCGGTTAATTTGCCCATGTAAACACTGCCCGATAAACGGCAGCGGCCGCGGCCGCCGCTCAGAGTGGCGGGTCAAGGTCAGTCGAGGGTGCGGAGACGACACCATAATAATATTTACAATATACACAGGCCGTTCATGCAGTGAAACTTGTCCGACACTTGTAGAATTCCCGATGCTTGGATCACGATATAATTAGTCCACGTTCTACAAAAAAAAAACATGCATAAAAATGCGCATTGCACACATTGCATATTGCACCTTAAAAAAACTTAGTGCAAATGCATATCCCGCTCCCCGTAACGGGCATCACCCCAAGTATCCCGACATTTCTAGTATTCCATATGACGCTGTGGGCCCCCATATCGTCCGCCACATATCCGCCGTCCGGCCGGGGGGCGGGCCGCGGCCGGTCAGCCAGCCGTTCTCACGCGGCGACAAGCAACTGATGGATACCGGCGGGCGACCGGCACCACAACACCGCCTAATGGAACGGACGGCGTGCGGGTGGCGCGGTACGGCCGCCAGCTGGAGCCGATATCTCAGCGGAGGCCGCTGCGGCCGGCTATCGTAATGTGGTCACAGCGGAACTCGGTGGATCGATTACGTGTCTCGAATCCGTTGTTACGCCGCAGAGGCTACCGTCACACGTAACAAGGTCAAGGTACGATAGGATGATTCCGAGCTAGATCACGGACCAGCACACCAGCATCCAGCTCCAGAATGTACTCGTATCTGGAGGATTATACCACGGTACTGGTGACTTTTACGATTGAACAGCAGTTGATCAAGAAGCTAAGAACATTGACAATACGGGCAAAAAGGTCAAGTTTACAGCACCACTTATACGCAATTGAAGCCGATATGGTACGACGCCGGTCCTAAGTAACGGTCAGCTCTGTAAAAAGTTATGCCTACAGCAATACTATTTCGTTATCGTGTACTTAGTTCACACTTACAGCTACACCGAGCGCCTTTGCAGGGACTTTAACGATGCAGGTACGACGCCGGCAACACCCCATTAAAAGTTGAAACAACTTTATAAGTACACAGTCAATCTTTTACTCGGAGTTGTCCCCTGCCTTTGATTGATACGTCCACAGTTGTAATAATACAATCAACATCGTTTTGATGTGCGAACGTTACAAAATGAACTCATATACGACGCAATCATTTCTTGGCGTATTTCCACTTCACTTTCACACGCTGGGTGATGCAGTAACTACACAGTTTCAACTTACTTGCACACGCTAGGTGATCACTGATCAACGATCATAGCTTCTCGCTGGTGACTGCAGTTTCCTCAAATGAGAGGCAAGCAGGACGCTACGGGCCCAATCAATACACGAAACCCAGGCAAATGAGCGTAGCCGTGATTGTCCGAGTAAAGATCCAATATCAACGACAGCTCAAATTGGAGCTGCAGATAGTACATAAGTGGCATGTCATAATCATTAGTTCTGATCCCAAATCAAAGTACAGCATCAGACGAATACAATAGTGAATTATGACCAAATCCGAGATGTGTAGAGTCTAGTCCGAGTCAAGCTAAATACAGGGTGTCCCAAAAGTAAGGTCATCATTTGTTTTGGCCACACCGCCAAAAATACGCGATGGATAGATATAAATAGGACATCATATGAAAGAACATTTTATAAAATTTTATTCTGATATACATATGAGTCAATACATTGGCTCGTAGCCCCACATTTGCTGCTTTTCTACATGGCTACCATTTCGGGCCGCGTGCACGAATAGACTGCGTTTTACTTCCTCCACTATTCTGGAGCGATTCTCTGGTGAGATGCCGCTTATGTTTGCTCGGAGGGATCATCCTTTAGTTCTTCCCGGCTCGTTGGGTTGTCCTAAAAGACGACCTTTCTGTTGTGTGTCCAGAGAATAAAAATATGAAGGTGTAACGTCAGGTGACCGCGGAGGCCATTCAATGGTGTTGCCCTGACTGAAAATTACGGGATCTCACATCCACTCTCGGAGACAATGCATGATCTTCAGGACGGTGCAAGCATAGTCTCCATCCTGCTGAAACCACTGCTGGTTGATGGTGTCGGCACAGCTGCGTTGTGACGAGCGAAAGAACCACTGGGAGGACTGTCGGCCACCTCTCTTGATTTATTGTCACCCGATTCCCGCTGTCGTCCTCAGGACCTCGAAGCACAGGTAGCTAAGTATACATGCCCTGTGCGTACATTATACCTTTTTTCTGACGTTTTACCGGTTGAGGCGAAACTATGCATGAGTTCAGAGATATGGGCGAGCTGATAGGGTCTGCTTAGGGCCGAAAACTGGGCGGTATTTACCCTTTGTTTTAATGACGGACCCTCTCTAAGAGTTGAATTTCGACCTTCTCAGTTTTATGCCTACTGCTCGGTGTAGTTATGATCAAAAATGGTTTAAGCATGCAAGAAAATAATTTTATGGATGTACAGGTCTCGCGAGATTAAGCGGTAGGTTTTGCACTTTTACATTTTCGGTTATATCTCAGAAACTAATCGATCTACGATGAAGCCACGTCAAATCGAACAAAAATCGGCTGTTTTGCACCTTACCATCAGCGATTTCATTATAAATTTGTGAGCGAGTTCCTGTGTGGCCCCGGACATTACATTGATGTTTTTTGCACATTCTGACCACAGTTCTTCTAAATATAGGGCATCAAATTTTTACAAAATGTTGCATCTTTATATTTTTGAACGACCATTACTTTGGTTGTACTTGTTTGATTTGAATGAAATAAACCTTACTGTTTAGGTAATTTCTTAAGCATTTGTTTAGAATTGCACCTACTTAAATATATGACCTTGAAATTTGCTTAACTCTGTTCTTAAGCGCAAATATTGAAATAGCAAAAAACACGTCACCTTCGATTTGGCTCATTTTCATATATTTTATTGCCTCAAATAGTAAGAAAATTAACCTCACTCTCATTCTATCTAAAAGTAAATTCCGGATTCGAAATA